TATGTTTACTACTTTGCCCAGTTCCTAACATATCTGGGTAAAACTGACGTTTGAATTGATAGCTGCACAGCGCTGGGGAGAACAAGGCTGCAGCGTTGATGAAGGAAGCACATACACAAATTCCAGAGAGCTCAGCGCTTGCAGCGCTGGAGTAGTAGCGCCGCGCGCTGCGCGACTTTCTAAAAATAAGGGAGTTAACGGATTTCGAAATTAGGTTATTTGGAGCCTATTTAAGGAGCCTTTTCAGAGATTTTTGAGGGAGGCAGCAAGCACTATTCTGAAGATTTTGAGTCAAGAACAAAGCAAGGAACAAGAGAATTGGAGAGAGAATCAAGATCACAAATCTCTAATTATTAGTTTCTCTCTTACCTTTGTGTTTTTCTTTTTTTTTGACTTGGATTCATGGCTAAATTTCTTTCGATATTGTTTTTATTAGATACTATGAACTAATATTTTTTAGATTGCAATTGAACTCACATGTAATCTAATTTTTCTTTTCTTGCTTTTTTCAATGAAATTTGAATTGTTTTATTCCAATTGTTCTTAATGCTTTATTGCTTGGCCACCAATTAAATTGATCTAGAAACCTAAAAAACTTGGGAAAGGGAGTTTACTGTAGACTAAAATTGATAGGATATGATCATATTAATTGATTTGCCTATAGGATAGGGATATACCTATAGGCCATATGTAGCCAGATTAGAGCCATGACTGATGAGTCCATTTTAATTTCAATTCATAGGGATATAGTGTTTTAGTTAAATAGATATTTTTATAAGATGAGTCGGGAGACCCTTATAAATAATTTAGACTCTAGGTTAGCAATTTAACCATTGAAATAAGTTAAGAAAGAGAGGTAGTTTTGATGAAGTCGAGGGATATTGTACCTAGGCTTGTTTGATTTGCTGTTTGCCCATTATCTTTTTGCTTTATTGTAATCAAATTAGTTTTATTGCGTAATTTTTAGTTCAATTAGAATTAAGATTTTAATTGTTTGAACAAGCTAAATTATTTTATTTTTGTACTTAATAAAATTTTAGATCAATTCCCTGTGGATCGATACTCTGCTTGCTAATTACTATCTATTCGATACTGATACGACCTGTATGTAGAATTTTAACTGACAGTAGTGCCTTGAAAGCTCTAATCTTCTTTCTCCTCATCTTCATGCTTTCCAATCTACATACACAGCAAAACAAGCTAGGGAGAGATTAGAACTACTTATTTAAACAGAAAACAAGAACTAACTTAAAACAACTAAATTTAGAAAAAAAAAATATCTTGGGTTGCCTCCCAAGAAGTGCTTCATTTATAGTCTTCGGTAGACTGACTCGGACTCTAGGCCATGTCAAGCAAGTGTATTGAGTATGTTTGATGATTAATTTTACCTCCCAATAATGCTTCAATCTTTGTCATTGACTTTAAATTTTCGATCATCTGTTCTTGTAACTTCGATTGCTCCATGTGAAGTACCTCGTTGACAATGAAAGGACCAGACCACCTTGATTTGAGCTTTCTCGAAAATAATTTCAAACGAGAATTATAGAGCAACACTGATTGTCCCGGCTCAAAGCTTCTTTCCATTATCTTCTTGTCATGCCATTGCTTTGTTTTCTCTTTATAGAGTTTGGCATTCTCATAAGCTTGAAGGCGAAATTCATCAAGTTCATTTAATTGCAACAACCTTTGCTCACCTGCTGCTTGTAAATCAAAATTTAACTTCTTCACAGCCCAATAAGTATTGTGTTCAAGTTCCACAGGTAAGTGACAAGCTTTTCCAAAGACCAACTTATATGGAGACATACCAATAGGGGTCTTGTAAGCAGTCCTATATGCCCACAGTGCATCATCCAATCTTCTTGCCCAATCTTTTCTTGTGGGACACACTGTTTTCTCCAAAATCCTCTTGATTTCTCTATTTGATACTTTCGCTTGGCCACTAGTTTGAGGATGGTACGCAGTTGCAACCTTTGTGTTAACTCCATCTAAACCTTAAAGTGCATCAAAAAACTTGTTACAAAGTAACTCCCTCATCACTAATAATTGCCTTGGAGTGCAAATCGAGTGAAAATATTCTTCTTGATGAAATTCATCACCACCTTTGAATCATTATGAGAAAGGCCGCCGCTTCACACCACTTGGAGACATAATCAACAGCAAGCAAAATGTATTTATTGTTGTATGAAGATATGATGACCATGAAGTCAATACCCATATATCAAAATTTCTATCTCCAGGATGTTGCTGGAGGCATCTCATGTCGCTTGAGATATTCCATTCTTTGACACCTGTCACAATGCAAAACAAATTATGAGCATCTTTATAATGTAGGCAATACAAACTGATTGGAGGACTTTAGCAGCAGTCCTTATTCCTCAAAGTGTCTTCCATAATCTGAAGAAGACAATGGTGAAGCACACTTTGCATCTCTTTCTCCGGAACACATTTTCTGAAGATTTGGTCTTTACATTGCTTAAGCAAGTAAGGCTCATCCCAAAATAAATTTCACATCATGCAAAAATTTCTTTTTTTTTGATGAAAATTAAATCAAGGGGAATGATATTGCTTTCCAGGTAATTCACGAAATCAACATACCAAGGAGGTGATTTCTTACCAACTTGAAGGATTTGCTCATCAGGAAAAGTTTCCTTGATTAAGGTTGAATTCATACCTTGAGCTTCAATCTCCAATCTTGAGAGATGGTCTGCCACTTGATTTTCTGTTCTTTTTCTATCACGAATCTCGAGATCAAACTCTTGTAGCAAGAGAATCCACCTTATCAATCTTGGTTTAGCATCCTTCTTGGCAATCAAATATTTGATAGCTGAATGGTCAGTGTACACTATCACCTTTGTCCCCACGAGATAGGAGCGAAATTTGTCAAAAGCAAACACTACAGCCAAGAGCTCCTTTTCTGTTGTGGTATAATTTTTCTGGGCCTCATTCAAAGTCTTGCTAGCATAATAGATGGAATGAAAGATTTTATCCTTTCTTGTCCCAAACAACCCACCGCATAATCACTCGCATCACACATTAGTTCAAAATGGAGAGTCCAATCGGGACTAATTATGATAGGTGCAGATATTAATCTTTTCTTCAATTCATCAAAAGCAACAAGACATTCATTATCAAACTTAAATGACACATCTTTTTCCAATAAATTGCAAAGTGGTTTAAGAATTTTTGAAAAGTCTTTAATAAATCTTCTATAAAAACCAGCATGACCAAGAAAACTTCTAATACCTTTGACATTTATTGGAGGTGGTAATTTCTCAATTGCTTCAATTTTTGCTTTATCTACCTCAATGCCTCTACTAGAGATCTTGTGCCCCAGGACAATACCTTCTCGCACCATGAAGTGACATTTCTCCCAATTGAGCACCAAATTTGTATCTTCACATCTCTTGAGTACCTTAGCCAGATTTAAGAGACAATCATCAAAATTATTTCCAAAGACGGAAAAATCATCCATAAATACCTCCAAACATTTCTCCACCATGTCTGTGAATATGGCCATCATACATCTTTGAAAGGTGGCAGGTGCATTACATAATCCAAATGGCATTCTTCTAAAAGCAAAGGTGCCATAAGGACATGTAAATGTAGTCTTTTCTTGATCTTCAGGAGTAATAACAATTTGGTTATAACCAGAATAACCATCTAGGAAGCAATAATATTCCTTACCAGCCAAACGATCCAACATTTGATCAATGAATGGAAGAGGAAAGTGATCTTTCCTAGTAGCTTTGTTAAGCTTGCGATAATCCATGCACACTCTCCATCCAGTCACAGTTCTTGTTGGGATGAGCTCATTATTGTCATTGGCAACCACAGTCATTTCCTCTTCTTAGGAACACATTGAATTGGACTTACCCATGAGCTATCAGAGATAGGATAGATTATTATCCAGCATCCAACCACTTGATGATTTCCTTCATGACTACTTCTTTCATGATGGGATTCAATCTTCTTTGTTGTTCAATTGTGGCTTTGTGATTTTCCTCAAGGAGGATTTTATGCATGCAAACAGAAGGGCTAATTCCCTTAATATCAGCTATGGTCCATCCTATTGCTTTTTTGAATTCTCTAAGTGTCCTCAATAACTTCTCCTCTTGCATGTTAGTAAGAGCAGCAGAATAATAACTGGAAGAGTAGAAGATTTTCCAAGAAAAGCATACCTCAAGTGATCAGGCAGAGGTTCAGTTCCAAAGTGGGGTTCCTCAATGAAAGGCTTGAAGCTGGCATCAAAGAAGCTGTGATATCTAAAGACTCAAATGATGATTAGTTTCTAATCTGGAGTGAGCATTTAACAAATTAGAATATTCAATAAATTCATCATCATCCTTGTCAGGATTAGCAACTAAAGATGCTTCAAGAGGATCATTGGGATTTTCTTCTAAGAAAACCTCTTGTGTACAGTTATTTACCATGCTCACAGAAAAGCAGTCTTCAGATGTCGCAGGTAATTTTAAAGCTTTGAAAATATTAAATGTTACCTGTTGGTCTTGAACTCTCAAAGTGAGCTCACCTTTTTCAACATCAATCAATGCTCTAGCAGTTGCTAAGAATGGCCTCCCAAGGATGATTGGAATTTGCCTATCTTCTTCCATGACAAGAATTAAAAAATCAGCTAGAAAAATAAATTATCTACCTTGACAAGAACATCTTCCATAATTCCCTCGGGTACACATAAGAACGATCAGCCAATTGCAAAGTAACAGAAGTGGTTTGCATTCCCCAAACCAAGTTTCTCAAAAATTGACCAAGGCATTAAATTGATACTTGCACCTAAATCACTCAAAGCTTTTGTAAAAAATAAATTACCAATTGTGCAAGGGATTGTGAAACTACCTGGATCTTTGAGTTTGGGTGGCAGTTTATTTTGGAGAATTGCACTACACTCTTCTGTAAGGAAGACAGTTTCAAACTCACCTAGCTTTCTCTTTTTGGAGAGGATGTCCTTCAAGAACTTGACATAACTGGGCATTTGTTCCAAAGCTTCAGCAAAAGGAATATTTATGTGTAATTTCTTGAAGACATTGAGGAACTTCTGAAATTGCTTTCAAGTTCTTGCTTTTGAAGCTTTTGGGGAAAGGTGGTGGAGGATGGAGATTGAGAGGTTCCTTGATTTTCAGCCTTGTCACATCTTTTGTTGATTCAATTCTTCTTCTCACACATTCCTCCTTATCAACATGTTCAATCTCAGATTCAACTGCTTTTTGATTCACCCCTTCAATCTCTTTTCCACTCCTTAAAGTGATTGCTTGGCATTGTTCCTTACCTTTAGGATTGATTTGTGTGTCACTGGGTAAGGAACCTTGAGGTCTATTGTTGATGGAATTGGCGAGCTGTCCCACTTGGGTCTCAAGATTTCTCAAGGAGGCTCCTTGACTTTGAATTATGGCATCAGTCTTGGATATATATTGCAAGAGGAGTTCTTCCAATTGGGACTTCTTTTCTGGAATTTGTGGTCTAGCTTGTTGTTGAAAACCAGGAGGCATGATGGGTTTTGGATTGGAAGGCCCTGCATTGTTACTCCATGAAAAGTTGGGGTGGTTTCTCCAACCAGGATTATAAGTATTAGAGTATGGGTTATTTTGCTGCCTGTTGAAATTCCCCACGAACTGGACTGATTCGGAATTGTATGGACATTGATCATATGAATGACTATCTCCACACATCTCACAAACTACTAATGAATTTTGAACTGCATGAACTCCCAGTGTATCAAGCTTTTTGGACAACGCAGCTACTTGAGTAGTTAAGGTGCCAAGTGCATCAATTTATAGCTCCAACAGCTTTCTCGAACCCACCTTTTGAAGGCCATTGAATTATTGAGGCCATCTCTTCCAACAAATTGTAGGCATCTACAGCATTCTTACTCATTAATGCCCCACAGCAGTAGCATCAATTATGGTTTTTGGACCCAACCAACCCATTGTAAAATGTCTGAACTTGCACCAATCAGGAATCCCATGATGTGGACATTTCTCAGTAGTTCTTTAAACCTCTCCCAGGCTTCATACAAGGACTCACCATCAAATTGTATGAATGAGGCGATATCGTTCCTCATCTTTGCAATCTTGGCAGGTGGAAAAACTTTTGCTAGAAACTTTTGTGCTAAGTCCTCCCATGTAGTGATAGACCCATTAGGCAATGAATTAAGCTAACTTTTTGCTTTATCTCTCATAGAAAAGGAAACAGTCTCAATCTAATAGCATCATTAGTTACTCCATTGTACTTGAAAGTGTCACAAATCTCTAGCAAATTTACCAAATGAGAATTAGGATCATTACTAGGTAATCCACTAAACTAGACTGAAAACTGAATCATCTGAATGTAAGCTGGCTTAATTTCGAAATTATTCCATTGATGGAAGGTCTCCTAAGGCTTTGGTGCAAACCTTGCATAAGAGGAACAGCATAATCCCGTAGTGCTCTATTTGCTTCGGGAACCAAATTAATGGCATTATTGCCATTATTATTGTTATCCTCTGCCATTGTCTGATTTAAAGTTGCAACTTGTAAATTCTCCCTTCGACGTCTTCTAAAAGTTCTTTCTATGTCAGGATCAAAAGGAACAAATTCAAGTTGTTTCTTCTTTGCATGCAATGACCAAAGAGATCTGCGAACAAACAAAATCTAATATTAAAACAAGAAAAATAAAATTTGAAGTAAGACTAAATTGTTTGGTATTAGTATTAGTATAAATTCTAGAAACAAGTCCCTGGCAACGGCGCCAAAAACTTGTCAGTTAAAATTCTACTACGCAAGTATACATATCAAATAGATAGTATATTAGCAAGCAGAGTATCGATCCCACAGGGAATTGATCTAAAATTTTACTAAGTACTAAATTAAAACAATTTAGTTTTATTCAAACAATTAAAATCTAATTCAATTGAACTAAAAATTACGCAACTAAAACTAATTTGATTACAATTAAACAATAAGATAATTGGGCAAACAGCAAATCAAACAAGCCTAGGATTACAATATCCCTCACACTTCATCTAAATCTTACCTCTCTTTCTTAACTTATTTCAATGGGTGAATTGCTAACCTAAGTCTTAAATTATTTATAAGGTCTCCCGACTCATCTTATAAAAATATCTATTTTAACTAAAACACTATATCCCTATGTGAATTGAAATTAAATAGACTCATTCATTCAGGTTCTAATCTGGCTATATATGGCCTATAGGTATTCCTTATCCTATACGCAAATCAATTAGTATGATCATATGCTATCCCAATTTTAGTCTCACTAAACTCCTTTTCCCAAGTTTATTTAGTTTCTAGATCAATTTAATTGGTGGCCAAGCAATTAAAAGCATTAAGAACAAATTGGAATAAACAATTCAAATCCCATTGAAAACAAGCAAGAAAGAGATTAAAAATAGATTACATGTGAGTTCAATTGCAATCCTAGAAAAATAATTTAGTTCATAGTATCTAATAAAAACAATATCCAAAGAAATTTAGCCATGATACAAGTCAAAGAAAATAAGAAAACACAAAGTTAAGAGAGAAACTAATATTAGAGATTTGTGATCTTGATTCTCTCTCCAATTCTCTTGTTTCCTTGCTTTGTTCTTGGCTCCAAATCTCCAGAATAGTTGCTTGCTGCCTCCCCTCAAAAATCTCTGAAAAAGGCTCCTTAAATAGGCTCCAAATAACCTAATTTCGAAATTCCGTTCTCTCCTTATTTTTAGGAAAGTCACGCAGCGCTGCGCGTCTCAGCGCGCAGCGCTGCGGCGCTACTTCTCCAGCGCTGCAGCGCTGAGCTCTCTGAATTTTGTATGTGTGCTTCTTTTCATCAACGCTGCAGCCTTGTTCTCCCAGCGCTGTGGCAGTCTATCAACTTCAAACGTCAGTTTCACCCTGATATGTTAGTAACTGGGCAAAGTAGTAAACATAAAAGTTTTATCCTGTCTCTCTAACTTTCTATGGATTAAGAATCACATCAATTGGACTTCTGGATTGAAAGATTTGCTCCAAATACCGCATCATGTTCAGTCTTTACATACTACTCAGTGGTCCGACTTTGACAAATATTTTGACCATGATCAATCAGAACTGGCAAATTGGTGAACATAAACATTATATCCCTTCTCTCTATAAATTCGATTGGTCTAAGAATCACCTCATTGGAGTTTTTTAGAAAGAGATATGGTCAAAATACTGAAACATATACGAATGAAGCTATCACCATACTTGCACTGAATTTCATCAAATGAGTCTTTTCATCAATTTCCTACAAAACCATAAGAGAAATTAGCAATAACTACTCTTAGTAATTTAAAATAAAATAACCTAAAATAACTAAAATAACTTAAATTAATCACTTAACAAGTAATCAAATTTAAACTAAAAAAAAAACTAAAATGCTAAAATTCGAACCTAAAATCTCAAAGATCTAACTACTTAAGCTCTCAAAATGAGTCAAAATAACTCTATATAATAAAGTTATCAGTAGGCATGAAGAATGTCATAAAATGTGTATAAGATGTAAATTCCATATAACCTATGAGACAAGTAAACATGTAGGTGATGGACATTCCACATACTAAATGATGTGAGAATGAGTACTTGATTTGAATGAGGAATAAATTTCACTCTAGGGATGAAGTGACAACTTCACTCCCATGATGCATCATAAACGCCAAGGTGCAATGGGGATTGTACATTGCTAGTCCAAGGTGCAATAGGGATTCTACATTGCTAGCCTAAGGTTGATGGGGGTCAAACCATCACAATGTGTGAATCTAATGTTAATTGAATGATTACGATTGATATGCATTTATGATAGGTTGCATGCTAAGTTCATTTGAGTATTCCTTATAATTTATACCCTATGTTGGCATGAGAATGTGCTTAGTGAAATGAATTAAGCTTTAAAGATAGTCCCAAGAGGTAATGGGACCTCAAGAATGGCAAAAATGTAGGATTTTGCCTAGAAAATAGAGTTTTAAAGGCTATCTATTGATACTTGTAGAACATCTATCGATAGATAGCAAATAGGATATAACAAGAAGCATGCTGATTCAAATTTATCGATAAATGAGCTACAAGATTCTTTGTACTAGCTTGTTTGAAGGTTTATCGAAGGTAAAAGGGTTTTTAAAGGTTATGTAAACTTGTTTCCATGCAAATGCTCTTTAAAATGTGTTTAAATATCATGTTTCATGAACTTTACAATTAAATGCTTTAAGAATGGCATGAGAATGAAAATGCATGTTTACGAAATACTCTTATCTCTTGGTTTGTCCCCTTCCCGTATCCACTCATTAAGTCTTTATGACTTACACGTTATTTGTGAAATCCTACCTTGAGTAAGAGGATAAGTTAGGAAATCCTTAGGTGAGCATATAGATTACATATTTTGAATATTAAACTTAGTTTTAACCTTTAAAAGAATTAATTGACACTTTTGGTTGTTTGTCCTTTTTTAAGCAAAAACTTTTTAAGTTTGAAAGGGGTCAAAATTTGTGATTTTTATAAAACAATCTTTTGAAAATAAAAAATAGCAATAATGATTCCCTTGATTTTTACATGCCCAAAAATGATTTTTTTCATAATTTTTGGAGTATGTTTTCTATAGTAAATAGGAGGTTTGAATTTAATTTCAGTCAAACTTTTTTTATTTTGTTTTTAAAACCAAAATTTCGATTTTGATTTTTTTTATATTTTATTAAATTCAAATTCGGGGAAAGGGGTGTTGTTTGCTTATTTACATTAAATATCTTAAGTAAATGAAGAGTAAAAAGGAAAAAAGTAAAAATAAGGACATTTACTTAAATGGTATTTATACCTTAAAAAAATAATTGAGGGTTGAAAACCCTCAAAAAATGGAAGGCATTTATAGCTTTCAGTGTGAAAACATAGTTTTTCCCTTTTTATTTTTATGAAAATGACAAAATGTATCGATACATTTGGGCCATGTATCTATACATTTGTTTATGAAAAAATTGTATCGATACATTTGAAATAAAATACAACTTCTAAGACAAATTACTTATAAAACCTACCCATCTTATTTACGTTAAATATCTTTTGTGAATGGAAAGTAAAAAGGAAAAAAGTAAAAATGATGACGTTTACTTAAATGGTAATTAATGTAAATAAGCTGAGCAGGTTTTATAGGTTATCTGTTTTAAATATTGCATTTTGTTTCAAATATAGTGATGCATGTTCATAATGCATTGATACAATTTTTTCAAAGACTAATGCATTGAATGGCTCAAATGTATTGATATATTTTGCATTTTTAGAAAAATAGAAGGGGAAAATTATATTTTCACAGTCAAAACTATAAACACCTCACATTTTCATGGGTTTTCAACCCTCAACTATTCTTCTAAGGTATTTCTCTCAATTTAAGCTCTCTCAACCTATTTTTGATGCAAATCTTCATCTTTAATCATTAGAAAGCTTGGTTTTAAGTTAAACAATAAAAATGAAATTTTTATGCTTTGGAAACTTTAATTGTTGATTTTTCAACTTTTGAAAATATATTTTTATGGCCCAAATTTTTTTGTTTATGAGTAAAGCTTAAGGGTGTTGGGGTTTTGCAAGCATCTAAGGTCACCTAATGTATGGATAAAGGATTTGTGGGTTTCTACCATGGGTTTTAACTAAAAACTAGACTTAGTCATAAGTGAGTAAATTCAAAAGTGCCTAATATGATTATTTCAAGAATTTTATTTTAGGAGTTAATTGTAATGAATATTATGTGACAAGAACGCTTGAAAACTCTATAGGTTTCA